AAGCCAATGCAGTAATATAAGGACTGGTGTAATGTGTGAAGACTTCTTTGAAATAGTCCTGGTGACTATACATGCAGCAGTATTTGCACACGCTGAAGTCTAGCAAACTGTTCCCGGGAGACATGTCCGAGCAAACTGTTGCAATAATCCAATCTGGATAACACAAGTGTCCGCACAAGCATATGTGCAGCAGATGTGGTGGGAAGATGTCTTACTGATCCTATGTTGATAAGTGGAAGTAGCATGTTCTGCACAAGTTAGAAATGTGAGTGTCATCTGCATAGCAGTGGTGCTTGACGTCCGTAGAAGTTGATAGACTTTCCTAAATCAGAAGTATAGAGCGTTTGCAGTTCTATACATGGGGCTAGAGTGAACTGTTTTTCATAAATACATCACTATCAGACCAAGGGCAACAGGTGGAGCTATGTAAATAACAAACGTGTTCACGGAAACAATGCCCGCGCTACACATACAGTCTATTCCCTTCAGTATTCTAGAGATCAGCAAAATCCAAGCCTCCATGATAATGATGGCAATCCCAGTGGGACACAAGTAAGATCAGCAGATTTCTATAAAAATTTAACACAAGATCCATCAAAAGCCATACTCATACTTAAATAAAAGGAAAGTTGAAGATGTCATCTCACACCTCAGACTCAGTCACAAAAAACACCATGACGCGGGTATATGCAACTTGTAATCAACCTGAATCCATTGCTCACTTGCTACTGGAATGTCAAGACCATGCCTGGGCTCAGCTAAAACAAGAGTTGCGGTTTGTGATAGATCTCCTAAGCCAAGAGATGCAATAGTGAAAGTCAAACCAACTCTATTACAGAAAGATGGACAGCAACTCACACACGTAAAATTCTTGTTGTTGCTTAATGCTGCACTCGGCAATATTCCAGCTATATGGTGGCGGCCTGTAAATAATCAAATCTGGACCAGACAATCCAGTGATCAACAGCATGGACATCGATCTATGCAATTGGGAACCGATGACATGTGTCATCCAAAATAGCAAGCCTGACCACGCTACCTGTCAGTCACGTTTTACGACATACATGGGCTACTGAAGGCCAATTCTTAGCAATACAATAAGAGAAATTGTAAACCAAAAGTCACTGTGTTCTTTAATCTGATTGGTTGAAAAACGCGATCGAATGGTATTCGATTCCCGGAAATTAGCTGCGTATTAATACATACAAACATTGCTCACACCATTGTATTGTTACGTTGTCAGCTGTGATGACGTCATTCAAATCATATTGTGACGTAAAGTCTGAATGACGTCACAAATGAGCAGTTCCAGATGCTACCATGAGAAACGTCCGGCTGCGATGACATTTCACTGCTGTACCCGTACACAATGTCAATGAGTGCTACACAAAAACGTGTGTTGACCTCTTGGTTTACTTTTGTGTTTACAGTGTCGACCGTGCTTCAAATACTCAATAACACCCGGAAATTGGCCAACACATGATGTTTATCTCCTAATTTTATCAATATCTATGCCAAAAATACACATAAAAAGCATGTTTAAAATGAGCACATACAAAATTCAGGAAAAATCTATACAGCACTACACATACACTTCCATGATAATACATTAATCATGTTACTGTATGTGGTGGGATAGCATTTACTGACAGTGGGTTTTGGTATCTTTGAATCTTTGAAACATGTTTCACTGGACTTTAGTTAGCCATACTTCTCTAATTTGTTGAAAGGCAATATTTGTGAAATGAACTAAATATTCAAAATAGCATGTAGGAGGTTTGGTGAATGATGATAATTTTGGAATGAACACCTTTATTCAAACAGTGAACATAGGATTTGTTATTGTAACTGAAGCATGCACCCACCAAAAATTATACAAAGTTACGAGCTAAGCATAGATCTACCTGTAATGTTACAGTAAAGAAACAGACTGTTGTAGCTATCGGAACAAGTAGAAGGGAAGATCCACTTCTTGTTCCATGACAAAATAGCATCAAATGTTAGCAATGAATACAGTATAAATACAACTACACAAATATTTTTTATCTTTGTTATAAATGGCACCATTTTTGCTTTAAATTCAGTGGCTGTTTCTGAAACAATTATGATCGTTCGCCTGAATACAGTTACCTTTTCTAGAGGGCCCTGTCAGCCTGCACGCTATGGGAGCCAGCAGTGCTATTGAAATGTGCTGAGTATGTGACTGGCTGGCATGTGCCACTGAATACTAATAGGTGCGTGTGTTTGCCATTGAATGGATACATTTATACTTTGTAATGGATCGGAGTGGCCTGCTCATGGTGCTTGCTCATGGCAAAATGAAGTCACTGCTAAAAGTCATAGGCGGGTTCTTTCATGGGTTCTCACAAGTTATAGAAAGTCCTAAAGAGATGACTGATGATAGCATTTGTAGACAAGAGTCAAATCTTTGAATTGAACTCTTGCTTGAACAGGAAGCCAATGCAGTAATATAAGGACTGGTGTAATGTGTGAAGACTTCTTTGAAATAGTCCTGGTGACTATACATGCAGCAGTATTTGCACACGCTGAAGTCTAGCAAACTGTTCCCGGGAGACATGTCCGAGCAAACTGTTGCAATAATCCAATCTGGATAACACAAGTGTCCGCACAAGCATATGTGCAGCAGATGTGGTGGGAAGATGTCTTACTGATCCTATGTTGATAAGTGGAAGTAGCATGTTCTGCACAAGTTAGAAATGTGAGTGTCATCTGCATAGCAGTGGTGCTTGGCGTCCGTAGAAGTTGATAGACTTTCCTAAATCAGAAGTATAGAGCGTTTGCAGTTCTATACATGGGGCTAGAGTGAACTGTTTTTCATAAATACATCACTATCAGACCAAGGGCAACAGGTGGAGCTATGTAAATAACAAACGTGTTCACGGAAACAATGCCCGCTACACATACAGTCTATTCCTTCAGTATTCTAGAGATCAGCAAAATCCAAGCCTCCATGATAATGATGGCAATCCCAGTGGGACACAAGTAAGATCAGCAGATTTCTATAAAAATTTAACACAAGATCCATCAAAAGCCATACTCATACTTAAATAAAAGGAAAGTTGAAGATGTCATCTCACACCTCAGACTCAGTCACAAAAAACACCATGACGCGGGTATATGCAACTTGTAATCAACCTGAATCCATTGCTCACTTGCTACTGGAATGTCAAGACCATGCCTGGGCTCAGCTAAAACAAGAGTTGCGGTTTGTGATAGATCTCCTAAGCCAAGAGATGCAATAGTGAAAGTCAAACCAACTCTATTACAGAAAGATGGACAGCAACTCACACACGTAAAATTCTTGTTGTTGCTTAATGCTGCACTCGGCAATATTCCAGCTATATGGTGGCGGCCTGTAAATAATCAAATCTGGACCAGACAATCCAGTGATCAACAGCATGGACATCGATCTATGCAATTGGGAACCGATGACATGTGTCATCCAAAATAGCAAGCCTGACCACGCTACCTGTCAGTCACGTTTTACGACATACATGGGCTACTGAAGGCCAATTCTTAGCAATACAATAAGAGAAATTGTAAACCAAAAGTCACTGTGTTCTTTAATCTGATTGGTTGAAAAACGCGATCGAATGGTATTCGATTCCGGAAATTAGCTGCTGTATTAATACATACAAACATTGCTCACACCATTGTATTGTTACGTTGTCAGCTGTGATGGCGTCATTCAAATCATATTGTGACGTAAAGTCTGAATGACGCCACAAATGAGCAGTTCCAGATGCTACCATGAGAAACGTCCGCTCTGCGATGACATTTCACTGCTGTACCCGTTACACAATGTCAATGAGTGCTACACAAAAACATGTGTTGACCTCTTGGTTTACTTTTGTGTTTACAGTGTCGACCGTGCTTCAAATACTCAATAACACCGGAAATTGGCCAACACATGATGTTTATCTCTAATTTTATCAATATCTATGCCAAAAATACACATAAAAAGCATGTTTAAAATGAGCACATACAAAATTCAGGAAAAATCTATACAGCACTACACATACACTTCCATGATAATACATTAATCATGTTACTGTACGTGGTGGGATAGCATTTACTGACAGTGGGTTTTGGTATCTTTGAATCTTTGAAACATGTTTCACTGGACTTTAGTTAGCCATACTTCTCTAATTTGTTAAAAGGCAATATTTGTGAAATGAACTAAATATTCAAAATAGCATGTAGGAGGTTTGGTGAATGATGATAATTTTGGAATGAACACCTTTATTCAAACAGTGAACATAGGATTTGTTATTGTAACTGAAGCATGTACCCACCAAAAATTATACAAAGTTACGAGCTAAGCATAGATCTACCTGTAATGTTACAGTAAAGAAACAGACTGTTGTAGCTATCGGAACAAGTAGAAGGGAAGATCCACTTCTTGTTCCATGACAAAATAGCATCAAATGTTAGCAATGAATACAGTATAAATACAACTACACAAATATTTTTTATCTTTGTTATAAATGGCACCATTTTTGCTTTAAATTCAGTGGCTGTTTCTGAAACAATTATGATCGTTCGCCTGAATACAGTTACCTTTTCTAGAGGGCCCTGTCAGCCTGCACGCTATGGGAGCCAGCAGTGCTATTGAAATGTGCTGAGTATGTGACTGGCTGGCATGTGCCACTGAATACTAATAGGTGCGTGTGTTTGCCATTGAATGGATACATTTATACTTTGTAATGGATCGGAGTGGCCTTGCAATATCACAAAAACAAAAATATATTCCCAGTGCAATGATGATTTTGTACCATAATCAAATTGAAGTATAGCCTCTTCAATATTTACGCACATAGATGCAATCAATTAATGTGATGAATAAATAAACCCCGACACCGGATCTGCAAAACATTCTATTCACATTTGTTCTAAGGTGGTACCATCGTTATAAATGGCTTGGACAAGTTGGAGTCCTGGCATGAACCAAAGGCAACATAAGAAAGCTAAATTCTTACCAGTCAAAGTTGCCATTCTGGCAATCCATCCGCTTCACTGAGCAGTACAGCTAAGCTTCTATATATCGATGTATACCTGTAACACTTAGCAACAGCTCTAAATATTCAAGGTCATATCCGTCGTCTGTGTAGCTTAGCTGCCATTGGTTGCAAGGGTTAAACAAACGCGCATTTCAACGCATCGGTGCCTTCGTCGCTATCATATTTGCATGGATTGATTGTCCCGAGAGCGATTATGAACTGTCATTTCTCTACGCTGTATCTGCTCCGCGATTCCAAAACAATAACAAGTTAGAGTAACGGCCCCTGTATAAGGGAGATAACTTGAAGTTGGACCAACAAGAATACCACGATCGAATTTCTTTCGGTGACAGCAAGAGTGAGTGAGTGAGTGAGTGAGTTTAGTTTAACGCGGCTTTTAGCAACATTGTGAGTGAGTGAGTTTAGTTTTACGCGGCTTTTAGCAAAATTGCAGCAATATCACAGCGGATAGATGGTAAGATGTTGGTAAGATGTATTGGAGAATCTTCAATGTGGACCTTAAGTCATTTTCAGAGGGGATCCGCCAATGAAACCATACTCACTCACTCACTCATCTGTCAAACAGTTCTCCTAATGAAGCTACATTACGTCCGGCAGGAATCCTCGACCATCCTTCTTGCCCTCCAAGCAAACAAGACCACCAGGAACACCTCCTACCGACTTTTGGTTTTTACAAAAATGTGTTTGGTTTCACTACAATTCACAAATATATTACATATGACATAAAAGGCAATATATACTAGCCACATAAAGAAACTGTGCCCACAGAAAATTCCTTCAGAATTGGAATACAACACAGAAAAGACGAAATAATGTAGACACTTTATAAGGTGAAGTATCGGAACACAAGAAAATGTGGAAAGAGCAAGAAAAACGTCAGAAGTTCAAAATCGAGTGCGGCGTCACACGACGAAGTCACAAAGTCAATAACGGGTATGACCGCCGTGTGCGTGAAGCACAGCAGTGCATCGACGACGCATAGAGGCTACTGAATGAGCATTGAAGGCATGGGGGATGGTCTTGGACGTGGTCACTGCCGTCTTGAACCTGTGTCTGAGATGAGTCACCCGAATCCATCTATCCTGTCTTGGCGTCCTTACGTCGGGGACGCCCATACCGTGGGTGGTCGGCGAGGTCATTACTGTTGACCAATGACCAAACACCTGACCAATGCAGATATCGTGTTACGATGGCATTGGAAATGTGCTGCCATCTGTTGTTGGCTCATTCCTGCTCGAACCATTCCAATGGCTTCATGACGTTGAGCACATGTTAATCTTGGCATGATGTGCATGTGACTTCTCATGTGACTTTGTGAACGTTTGAATGACCAAAGATCAAGCTTTCGACAATGACAGCAATTTATGAGTTTAACATGTTGTGTGCAGCTGCACAGGCTGCACGTGCAGTAACACATTGCAAGTCCATAGGCCACTATCACTGACGTCACGTCGCCTGGCACCGGCATGAGCGTTTGATTGTCTCCAATACTTGCCATGTTCACACCTGTATTTATGTATTAAGACGCTGTGTGTCTATATCTACATTTTCTGTGTGCACAGTTTCTTTATGTGGCCAGTATATATGACTTCATTGAGGTTTTGTAGGGTTATAACAGACATAGATACATAGAATATTGTTAAAGTTTCTTTAGAGGGTAGATAAGATTGTAGGAATAAGGTTTAATAGTAGTGATTGTAGTGAGTGGAGACTGGGAATATCAATCGATGATTTAAGTCGTGTGTCGCTATGACACGGGACTCAAACGCGTTGCACACCTGTTGCACATGCGTGTTACACGCGTTGAAGGGGAATAAACTTTTAGGCAGTAGTATACTCGGAGGTAGTGATATCACACAGAGATACATACTTGGAGGTAGTGATATCACACAAAGATACAAACTTGGAGATAGTGATATCACACAGAGATACATACTTGGAGGTAGTGATATCACACAGAGATACAAACTTGGAGGTAGTGATATCACACAAAGATACAAACTTGGAGATAGTGATATCACACAGAGATACAAACTTGGAGGTAGTGATATCACACAGAGATACAAACTTGGAGGTAGTGATATCACACAGAGATACATACTTGGAGATAGTGATATCACACAGAGATACATACTTGGAGGTAGTGATGTCACACAGAGATACAAACTTGGAGGTAGTGATGTCACACACAGATACATACTTGGAGGTAGTGATATCACACAAAGATACAAACTTGGAGATAGTGATATCACACAGAGATACATACTTGGAGGTAGTGATGTCACACAAAGATACAAACTTGGAGATAGTGATATCACACAGAGATACAAACTTGGAGGTAGTGATATCACACAGAGATACAAACTTGGAGGTAGTGATATCACACAGAGATACATACTTGGAGATAGTGATATCACACAGAGATACATACTTGGAGGTAGTGATGTCACACAGAGATACAAACTTGGAGGTAGTGATGTCACACACAGATACATACTTGGAGGTAGTGATATCACACAAAGATACAAACTTGGAGATAGTGATATCACACAGAGATACATACTTGGAGGTAGTGATGTCACACAAAGATACAAACTTGGAGATAGTGATATCACACAGAGATACAAACTTGGAGATAGTGATATCACACGGAGATACATACTTGGAGATAGTGATATCACACAGAGATACATACTTGGAGGTAGTGACGTCACACAAGGATACAAACTTGGAGGTAGTGATATCACACAGATATACAAACTTGGAGATAGTGATGTCACACAGAGATACAAACTTGGAGATTGTGATATCACACAGAGATACATACTTGGAGATAGTGATATCACTCAGAGATACATACTTGGAGGTAGTGATGTCACACAAAGATACAAACTTGGAGATAGTGATATCACACAGAGATACATACTTGGAGATAGTGATATCACACAGAGATACAAACTTGGAGGTAGTGATGTCACACAGAGATACAAACTTGGAGATAGTGATATCGAGATCCATGCTTGTAGGTAGCGGTATCATGTTTGCTTTTGTAAAACAAATTTGTTTCCGAGACGTTTTATGTTACTCATAAGAACTGGAATCTCTGTTCTACTACACAGCAGTCGTAAATCAGAATTACCTGACTGTATTTTTCGGTCCATGGATCACTTGATTGTCTGGTTTATTCCCAGACCGCTGTCGCATAGCAGGAATACTGCTGTGTCAAGCAGAAACAACTTCCATTGTTAGGACAGTTATGTAAATGGTTGATGCCACTGGAAGGGCTGGGCATGCTTACTCATTGCGCGAACACCGGGTGTCATCACTGATTTTCCGCGATCCATTCATATAATGTTCACAACTATTTTCCCTTCACACCAAACGATATTTGTTTCTGAGAATAGTTAAGGCAAGGTATTCTCTTACACTATATTTGTTTAACGCCACACTCAGCAAGGTTCCAGCTTTTATAATGGACCATACAGTCTAGGGATTGATATAATGAGCAACGATTCACGCTCTCGGGTAGCTATGACACTATTCAACCTAGTCTTCGAGTCTGAACATCTGTTACGATCGGGTGAGGGTTTATCTCACAGGATTTATTTCATTGTATTTATAACTCTCGGGGATGTTGTGTTGGAGAATATACCCCTGATCTGTTACATCATTCTCACGGGTGAAGAGATACAGCCGTCTAAAGTATCGCTGTTACCTGTACAGAGTTGCGTCCCTTAAATGTTACAGGATCTAATGACTGGGTCATCCATGGTTATTGGACGGAATACCCCCACACGTGGAATTCCCATCTAAAGTCCGCCTGAAAGCCGTTGACCGCATCTATGAACGATATGGGTTAAGTAAAAGTATGGGTGTAACATTGGTTATACGACGGCTAATGCAGTCCGACATTCTGAGAGATCTTGTCAGTCTACGAAAACAAGGTCAAACCCCTTTTACATCCATTCAATGTTTCATTTTGAATAATAATTGAAGATAGTTTTGATTTTGAAATAAATGTGCACGAACATAATGTTACAACTCTCAATGTTGAAATGCCGTCTTGTTTTCACATTTAAATTTAGGGAACAGAATGAAATAAGATTAAAACTAGATTGTATCTTCATATCAAGGAAACTCTGTTCATCGAGAAATACTTAACTAATGATTGATGTTAAGAAGTACAGAACTGCACAAGATTCGGTCTCAGTTCACATATGTTTATGATTGGAAAAGGAAGATGGAGTGTGCCTAAAATCCCATTTGCTGAAAGATAATGTCCCTTTTGTACTAACGAAATAGAAGATGTGTACCACGTACTCTTAATTTGTCCAAAATATCGAGAAATACGCCAACAATATTTAAATACTATTCTATTGGAAAACAAACGTATGTTTAAGTTTATCAAATTGTAAAATGTGAAAACAGTATTTTAAGCTGCGAAGTGTATCTATTATATCTTAAATGAAAGACACAAATTAGCTACAGTCCCAGCATGAGCAGTATATGTATCAGTTACTGTCATTACTAGTAGCTATAGTTGTTGTTGTTGTTGTTGAGTTTGATGATGTTGTTGTTGTTACATTACAATCCATATCATACCTATAATCACAGCTGTCAGAGACATGTCCCATGCTGGACAGGCTTAGTTGCACTCTACTACGACACATGCCCGACACATACAACACCTGTGGCTTCCACAACCTCATCAAGGTGATGGTCGACCAGTGCGTCCCCACACCCCAATCCTCCCAGACGCCCCTGCCTGCAACACCAGTCGACCAGTGCGTCCCCACACCCCAATCCTCCCAGACGCCCCTGCCTGCAACACTAGTGACAGCTGAATCAACTACAGCAGATGCAACAACACCCATCACGACATCTACAGGTACTCTCAGTTAGTTAAGACGTGGTTTTCCATATACACTTGTTGTATTACTGTTATAAATACTGTCATGCCTTGATGAAACAAAGCATCTGTTGACAAGAACACAGACGTTTGTGGATAGCTAGCCTTGTTTCGGAATCGGTTGCTATGGATATGATGCAATATTCACACCAGATTATTGTAGCCGTTTAAGTTTAACTATGAAATAATGCGTACAGTGTATGACAAAATAGAAACTTTTTACGATGTTTATCATTCTCAAGATTGCAGTGACATCAGTTACATCCAAAGTGTCGTCAGGACAACAAGAATTGTTGGAGGGATCACAGCACAGCAGGGCGTCTTCGACTCATGCGCCTCCCTCAA